GTATTGAAGCGTGGTCGGCGCTATACGCTGTGGGTCTAGATACGGCCGAGGTGGTGAAGAAGTGGGGGCGAGTTTGTCCGACAACGAAGGGACATGGCGGCAAAAAACAGCAGGGATCCAGGTGGAAAAAGGGTCCCAGCTTTCTTGCAAACCTTGCTCTTCTAGCTGGTCCAACTTTACGAGTTGTTTACCGCAATTTCGGTCATAAAAACAAAACAAGCCGACCTCCTGTCTGCGGCACTGTCTGTGGTCACCTACAATTTGGGAGAGGTGCAGCGGAGTGTATGTGGAGGGGGCGGGGACGTCTTTTTGTGCACTGCGACACCTACGCAGACGACCTAGATTCAAAGTATAAATCAGCCTTTAGGCAACCAGTGGCCACCCCTACCATTTTTTTTCTCTAATACAGATGGTGGCAGCAGTAATACTCTCAAGTGGAATATTTAAAACATTTTATTTTTTTTTGTGGTCAATTATACACATAAATATAGTAACATCAAAGATGATACGTACAGAATTCCTGCTCTTGTAAGAACTACATTTTGTGTTTTATGGAGTAAAGAGAAAATGATGTGTCTCTGCAAGTCATCTAGGAGTCTTCAGTGAAATCAAAAATAAAATTTTTATAAAAACTTTTCAAATAATCAATTTATGTAGATATTAGTGCTTGTAAATATAAATTGTATGCAGAATGTTTATTGATACAAGTAGGTAAGTAATGACAATGGTGATTGATTTACTTAAAACTGAGAATTATCCACTGTACCTTTTATGTAGAAATTACAGATGTTTAAATATATTGGTCTATTTGTTAGCAAAGGTTGTAGGAAGGTATTTATTTATTAAGAAAATATGGATGTTTTGCTTGTTAATTTTCCTGTTAGAACAGTGTAGATTGACCGTGAGGTTCTGGTGCCGATCCGCTTTCAGCCACCCCTCAGTGGTTTTGGTTTATTGCCTGGCCACCCTTATAAAAAATGTTCTGGCTCCGCCTCTGCCAGCAGAGACTGAAGATGTCTTCTGTCATCTGCAATTCAAAGCAAAGACAAAGCAGCAGTAGCTGAAGCTGGGATGAGCTTCAGCTATAATAGAATCTGAGGGCTTAAAAATAGAAGGGAGGATTTTCAGGCACTGACCACAAAGCAAAGCTTCACATGTTTGGGAAATTTGAATGATCACTTTAGTGGGAGGCGACCTTCAATCTGCGAATGTAAAGATTTTTTTTGTTTTGTTTTGTTTTGTTTTTGTTTGTCCAGTTCAGCTCAGTAGCTTTTATTTTCCCCAGTATGGGCAATGTTTGTGCAGTAGTAGTACACCTTTCACACACACATTCACACTTCACACATAAAAACACAAGAAACACATAAAATACTTTAAAAAGATAAAAGTAAGGTGGATAAATAAATACATATGTGCAGTGCAGAGGATGAATAAAAGCATAGGACTATATGTATGCAACGTATGACTATCTGCTTTTCCTAGTAGATTTTAGCAGCTGAAGAGCAGAGGGAATAAAGGAGTGTTTGTATCTATTGGTCCGAGCTGGTGGATATTTAAAACTGGAACCAGAGGGTAGAAACTGAATTCGTTATGTAGGGGATGGGTGAAAATATCCAAGATGGACTCAGCCTTCCTAATTACCTGCTCTTCATACATTTCAGTCATGGTTTTCTGTTGACCACCCGTTATCTAACTGCATACCTTAATAACCCTTGCTTATCTTTTTACCTAGCAAAACAGTATGATGGGTCTGTTTGCCCTTCAGCATTATGCAGTTTTGCTCTTAAACAGGGCGGCAATGTATTATTATATGTAGTATTATTATTAAAGCCTAAATGTGAGTGTGCATGATTACATTGGACCGTTTTTTGGTGAAAACATTTGTGAAGGGGTTGATGTTGGATGATTATCTCTAAGATGCTCTGTGCAGACCAGTCATATTCTTCACTCATTCATGTTTTTGTGAACCGTACTTTGTGCCTTTAAAGCTACAGTGTGTAATTTTCAGCGACATCTAATGTCCAGACTGCAGACCGCAGCAACATGAACATCTCCCCCCACCGTCTCTCCCCCCCAACAGTACGGCGAGCGTTATGGGACAAAATGTCTTCCACGACGTCCGCATCACCTACCTTCTCAAGTGATGAGGTTTGTTTACATAGATAATTT